CCCTTTAATACCTTGGCAAATAGCTATAAATAATTCATACAAACAACAACAATAGAAGTCCTCCCCATAACAGAGTCACTTTTCAAAATCAGTTTGTGAAAAACAAGCAGTGTTCTTTTTTTATTCTTCAGTCAAATTGATTATGGTTTTATGGTCCAGAAGTTCCTTCAAAAAGCGCTGTTCTGCAGCAATGTCATGGTATTCATTCTGTGCAGGAAAAAAATTACACAGAGATTAGAAATAAGGAAAGGAGCAAAGGGTTATATTTTTCTAATCCTGGTATTCAACAGGGTGAAAGTTAGGCCTCCTCAAAGGCCACTTAGATAAAATAGGAACAAGGAGTTTACAACTGCTGACAGGCCAAAATTACTCACCAGTTCCCTCTGTCCCCTTGTTGGTTTGGCCACTGTTCACCTGAAGGCACACACAATGCACAGCAGCCAAAAGAATGCAGAACATGGCAATAGGGCCACTGCTCAGCTGAGGAGACCATGCTAAATTATGTAATCTGTTGCAGCAAAAACAAGAAAGTCTTATGCCACTTTCATGTTTTATTTGGCTTAACCAATCATGAACTGCAGCCCAAAAGCTTATGCAAAATAAAATATCTTAGTCTTTAAGGTGCCACCAAGACTATGATAATGCAAGCAAAGCGCTGCATAAATGATAAGTGGCTGTTATCATTGTTGTTAATATTTCCTACAAGAAAAGGAACAGCATCTTCACATGCTGCATCTACTCTCCTGGACTGACTCTACATTTGACTGATACCCAGCATAACTGGAAGAAACGACATTTTAATGCTGCACACAAATCTCTCATTCTGCTTCCTGATACACCAAGGATCACTTCAGATAGAAGCCTGCAAACCCAAATAGCGCTACTAAGCAAACATGCAACAGGGAACCATAGCCAGATATGCCTCCCATTCATAAGGTGACCATTAAGCAATTTGCTTAAGGTTATATGGTGGAGTTGAAGTGGTGTGTCACTCTTAGATCAGACTGAGAGATCTTTATCCCAGAGCTATAACTGCACTTAATAATGACTTTAGAGACCACCACTAGTGAATAGTTGGACAGTGTTACTTAGCCTGCAGTGTAGATGTTTGTATTCTTAGTGGGTGATTTTTAGTGGGTGGGGAGTGTTTGGGAATTTTTCATGTGTGTGCATTTGGGTCTGGTCTCTGGGTGCCTGTGTGAATTTCATTGTATGGGTATACTGTGTATATACTTACAATGACAATACATTTATTTGATTTGAACCCACTTTTGACCTTCTCTATACACCCACAATATTACGGGGGGGGGAATACTGGCTAGATTCAGATACAGTGAAGCACCACAGTTTGTACCAAGCATAGTTAAAGACTTGCATCATGGTTTGAGCTTTTCAAAGTACACTGTACAAAGCATGGTTTAGAGATATGCATTTGTGCCTGTGTCCCATCTAGTCAACACGCTACTTATACATTTGCTTTTCTCTCCATGATGAAACAGATTCTTAAGGCAAAATAATGGCCCTAACTGTAGTTTGGCAATGGTCAGCGAATTCAAATGTGAACAAACCATAATTAGCACATATTGGCTGAAATCCTGCTGCACAACTCTGTGAGTATAAACAAGGATGGTAGTAAAGTGATTGGTGATTTCAGGGCACATACTGCACAACTTTTTAACCAGCGGTAATTTACTTTGGCCGATGACATCACCTCCACCTAGCTTGCAGATCTACATAAAAAAGATTTCAGCTGGACGGGTTTGGTTCAGACATTAACTACTGTATAATGAAAGTTAACAAAGTTAATCACATTTGTCCAGAAATTTTATTATGGGGCATAAAAATACTGGGACATATCCACTGTGGTTTTATGATAATGGACAGTGCCTCCATGCACCACAAGGTACAGTTCACATTTTTACCATTGTCCTCAGCCCACTATAGGCCTCCTGCTTTACAAGATCTGCTTCTGAAGCTTGGGGAATTCTCTGCAACTGTGTGGAAAATGTTACAGAGGACTGCTGCTCAGCAGGGACACAAAGCCTAAAATGAGATGCTCTGCCTTATGGAAACAGGTCCTGTCAGTGTGCAGCCACACCACAAGATGCAACCCCATCAAAAGCAGATAAATAAATAAATAAATGCACATATTAGAAAAGAAAATAGCACCTGAGTCATCTGAAACATGGTGTCATTGCCATAATAGTGTAAAGAACTGTTTCGGTCCTCAAGGTTATACTTGAAGCCTGCTAGGTGAACTTCACTGCATATTTGAAATGCAAAAGCAATAGCAATTAATCCTGTTGTGGGATGCTTGGGTTTCTAAAAATTAAACAGAACACAACAAAAATAAATTATAAAAAGAAGACCACTGGATTCCCAAAGAACTTCTACACAAGCAACACTAATGAAATATATATCAAGCTGCACTTCTAGTCTCCAACAACAGATCAAAGGTGGACAAATGCTGCCTCTGAACTGCAACTTCCCACATTCCTCACCATCTGTTATGCTGGCTGGGGCTGATGAGAGTTGCACCCCAACAACTAGGGATGGGACTTTAAGAAGAAGAAGAAACTCCCAGTCCGATAATTCAATGGGGCCTCTCCCACCACCACCACCCCAGCTGAATTATGGAACTGGGAGCCAACAAACAGTAAGAGGTAAAGCAGGCCTCTTACTTTCATACCTTTCCTGTGCTGCTTCTTTGCACTATCTGAGAAACACCCATGTGCACCTTTTCAAGTTGCAAGAATTTCCTGTGACTCACAAGGGTGCAGCTGGGTGCTTTTCAGAGGATGCAAATAAGCAGTGTGTGAATGCCAGGGAGGTAAGAGAGCTGCTCTCTCTTGCTGCTTTATTTGACAGAGGCTCCCATGGACAGTAGTAGCTCACTTCAGTTCACAAAAGCATGTGCTAGATTAAACTTTTTGATTTCTACAGGCCACAAGGTTCTTTTATTTTTTTTATTTTTTTTTTATTTACAATATTTTTTAGCCGCACCATTGCCAGTGGCTTCTGATCTTTGCTGATTCTGCTGCAACAGCCTAACAAAGCGACCTTGGAGCTAGAAAGCAACATTTATGCAGTATTAGTCATCTACCTTAGCTACAGCAGAATAATATCTTTGTAACAATCTAACATGACATAAAGTAGCAAACAAAACATTAAAAGCAGGAAGAAGTGCTTAAGATTCAGCTTACGGAAGAGTGCTGGAGAGCTGTCCACTATTTTGTGGTATTTTAGTTCTTTTCAATGAAGATATTTTCCTACTGGCAACACTTCAGAGAAAGCCAATTTATACGTTGACTGGAGATGATGGAAGGAAAAATGTATTTTTTTCTAATGGGCTACGGTGGCTACCTATAGGCCTCATACTGATTTCCAGAGAATAGCCTGGGAACTTTGCAGACATATAAATGACAGAGGGTCTAAAGCTCTCAGAACCTGCTTTTGTTTTGTCCCATGTTTCTTCCCCTAAAAATACAGTACCACTAAATCCATCATAAAATCAAGGAAGCCGGCTACATCCTTGATTTCAAAAGACAAGACTTTCAAAAGTGAATAGTAATTGTGGGTCTTTCAATGACTCCCTTGTTAGGAAACAATACACTTAGTGCATTTCCCCTTCTCTGCAGCTGCAAATACTGAAGAAACACAACCTTTGAAAAGCATCTCTTGTAACTGCTGGTAGAGCTTTCACCAGGGTAGCAAGTTTTGATCAAGAGATACATCTCTTTAAAACTTTAACTCATTCATTTATATAGGGGACAAACTTTAGCAGATGCAGCTAGGAGGTAAGGGCATAGCTCTTTACTCTTAACATTTTGTTGGGTATTACAATTGCGTCCAAAAATGATGTTATTAAAGTTGGCCTTAGTGTTAGATGAATGGCAATACAAAATGTGTCCTGTTGGAAACTACATTTTTGAACATATCTCACAAAGATTCCACCATATGTGTACACTGGCTTAATCAAAGAGTAATTCCCTTAAAAGGGAAATCATTAGTCAGTTACATTTTTATTTATGGACACTCCTTTTTTTCTTTTCCTTTACACTGATCATTGCTCACTTTTGGTTTTCATTTATGTAATATTTAAAAATAGGGAAATAAAAGCAACCAACTCTCCTTTTAATACATCTCTTAAATTGAGACAACCAATCAAATAACCTTAGCAAACGATTCTGATACAGATACTGATTTAGTAGATCACTGTTTAAGGCAAGATCTGATAGTTCTCTTGAACAGCAAGTGCCAGTTTCTGAGATGGCCTTAATTTTCCCAGCAATTGCAAACTTAGAGAAATAAGAAGAAAGCAATACAACTGGCAGTGTGATGCAAAACGAGGCAGGCAAGATATGATTCATGGACGCCATGCAGTTTTTTTATGGCCCCAGAACCTCTTCTCCTAAGTTTTTGGCCAACCTCCCCATATCTTATGCCCCTAAAAACCTGAAGAGTGGCAATTTAATCATAATCACCCTGAAAGCTCTCCTATTTCAAGAAATGAAAACATAAACTGGACTTTTGGACACTTCTTGTTAGTGTTTTTTTCCCCCTGCAGTTTTGGATGCTACTTTAGCCTCAGTGGATCCTGGAAACAGAAATTTGGCCCTTGGACCCCATGAACTTGTCCATTTAACTTAAAAGTCTCAGAGTCTGATTACTAGCGGCAAGCTCTTTCTTTAGTCAATACAACATTTCTACAGGAGGCCTTCATGGTGTGTTTATATTAAAGTTAACAATATTACAGATCTATGAATGACTCATTGGATCACTTGAAGAAAGTAGGAAAGACAAACAGACAAAGGACTTTTATGGGATAGATAACAAGTTGATTGTTCCAAACAACGTACACATCATGAAATGGTTACCAGCAGACATACCATATTTTTTAAATTGCATTTTGCATATTTTATTCATATAATACGTTTTATGAGCTGGTCACCTGACCATAATAAATGAATTCATTCATTCAGACATGCAGTATGCTTTTAACTTTTGCAAACTTCCTTATAAGCTTTGTTGTTGTTTAGTCGTTTAGTCGTGTCCGACTCTTTGTGACCTCATGGACCAGAACACGCCAGGCTTTATAAGCTTACAAAAATGCTAGGAAAATGCATATAATACGTTTTATGAGCTGGTCACCTGACCATAATAAATGAATTCATTCATTCAGACATGCAGTATGCTTTTAACTTTTGCAAACTTCCTTATAAGCTTTGTTGTTGTTTAGTCGTTTAGTCGTGTCCGACTCTTTGTGACCTCATGGACCAGAACACGCCAGGCTTTATAAGCTTACAAAAATGCTAGGAAAACCACCTCATTGCAAACTTACAATTTAGTCGTTTAGTCGTGTCCGACTCTTTGTGACCTCATGGACCAGAACACGCCAGGCCTTATAAGCTTACAAAATGCTAAAGCTTACAAAAATGTTAGGAAAACCACCTCATTGCAAACTTACAAACCCAATTGTTCTTTCATATATAAAATGTGCAATTATTCACTCTTATGAAGAAAATTATGTGCTTTCATCATAGTTATGGAAAATTCTTTATACACAGAAAAAAACAGCAAGAAATCATCCAATGTTTTACAATGACACAATTATCCAATTCAATACCGTGAGTGAGGCAGCAGGCAAGAGTCACATCCACATTATGGAGACACAGCTTAAGGTCTCCACTCAGCCATGAAGCTCAATGCATCAACTTTGACTGATAATCTCCTCTGCTTAGCCTATTAAGCAAATGGAGTTGTTGTGGGGATAAAGTGAAAGTAGTGGATGGACTACATTGAACATTTTGAGCACCTTGGTGAAAAATCGCAAGACTGATTGGCAGATTCTGGGAAGTTTTGACTGAAAGAAAGAAATGTTTCCAAGTTCTGAGTATCATTCAGAGCAACTCTTGTGTTCCTTAGCTGGCATTATTGAAACCATTGTTGCAAAAGAATACTTACTTCATGTCTGGAGAACTTTGTGGGCAAATGAAGCAAATCATGAGCTGTTTTTCGGGTAATGACAGGATCGAGGATTCTGATCTGGTGGGGCTTATAAATCAGTTGCATCGCTGGTTTCTTCCAAAAGGCGTAAGTTCTCTATGGAATACATGGCTTGTTACTGATATGTCAAAGCTGTACCTCTGTAGCATCTCAAGAACCTACCAGCAAGTCATATGACATGATGCAAAGGCCATTATCTCTAAATCTATCAAGAAGACTTTTTTTTTTTTTTAAAAATCTCATTTTTAAAAACAAATTGTTTTAGCAAAAAATATTTGTACCCTTATTCATACTTTGGGACAAGCCATTAATACTGATTTTAAAAAAACACAACCTGTTCTAATGGTTTTTCAGAAAGGAGATGAATTAATGAATTAATGAATGAACGGCATGTTTCTTGAATATGAAAGCAATAAGACAAGAGAATTTTTTTATGGCTGTATGATAAGAACGTTGTATGACACAGCTAGCCAAAAAGAATGTATTGTGCTAGAAAGGTATAAGGAAAATTTAGAGCATTTTAAACAAGAATATATTTTCAGTATCTTTTCTACAAGTATGCCATGGATGAAAGCATCCTCTTCTAGTCTGACCCAGTTCTATTTCTGTAGCAAAATTCTTGTACCTTCTCTGTCTATTAATCTGGGTGAATAATATGTTTTTTCAAAAATGTGCATATTTGGGGTTATAGAAACTATGAATACCTTTCAGGTCCTAAAGAAAAATATACTGGGCTACACCCAATTGTTAGTTCCAACTACAGGATACTCAGAGAATGAATTACTGAGACTAGAATAAGCCTCAGTAATTATTAAGTGGGTCTACTCTAGTTGGAGACTAAGAATTGGCAATAGGCCATTATGTTTTTTAGTATTTTGCTTGAAGGAAAGAACCAATTAGAGTAATCAACATTTACGCTAATTTGTCTATGTAGAAAAGCTCCCTCTGTTAAATTAAAGCCAGACCATCCTGCATATGTCCAGTTTTACGGACTTTCTCTCCTGACCCTCTGCCTTCTGGAGATGTTTGGAAAATAGTCCTCCCCCCCCCCCAGCAGCACTTAATTCAAATCAAAATCTTATGCTTCCTCCATTTTCAAGGCACACTAGAAACATGAATTTTGTTTATTATCACTTTAAATTTTGCATGACAGTATGCACAGAGAATATGCTGGAAATTCAAAGTAACATTGCAATACAAACACTTCATTAAGACAGAAAATGAAATGGGAGAGGATGTACACTCAAAATAGGATGACACAATTATAGGCAGAATTACGTTTTAGGCAATGGACAAATCAAAAATTTAGTTATCAGTTAATGGGTTCTGAGCTGTCCATGATGGATCAGGAAAGAGATCTTGGTGTGCTGGTGGACAGCTTGATGAAAGCATCAACCAGTGTGCAACAGCAATGAAGGCCAATTCCATGCTAGGTATCAGTGACTAAAATGATGACTGGGCTGGGACACCTCCCTTATGAGGAAAGGCTAAAGTGTTTGAGGCTCTTTAGAGAAAAGGAACCTGAGGGGGGACATGATTCTGCCATATAAAATTATATAAAATTATACAGGGGATGGATCAAGTGGATAGACGAAACATCCACTCCAATTGAGTGTTGGGAGAGAGAGAACAGATAAAAGAAAATATTTGTTTACCTAACATGTTGTTAGTCTGTGGAACTCCTTGCCACAGGATGTAGTGATGGCATCTGACCTAGATGCCTTTAAAAGGGGATTGGACAGATTCCTGGAGGAAAAGACCATCACAGGTTACAAGCCATGATGGGGATGTACAGGCTTAGAATGAAGGTACCTCCAAATGCCAGATGCAGGGGACACGTGTCTCGTTGTCTCGTGTGCTCCCAAAGGCATCTGGTAGGGCTACTGTGAGATACATGGAGCTGGACTAGATGGGCCCTTGGCAGGCTCTTATGTTCTTATTTATCTTAATTTGCCTGAACTAGTGTTCCAAGCACTCTTTTGCCAGCCTTTAACAGCAGACAGAAAAGTGTATGTTTGTAACAACTCATCCACATAAATACAGGAGTGCCCGTGTATCCGCAGGTGGTATGTTCCAAGACCTACTGCTGATGCTCAAAACTGCAGATAACAGTGAACCCTATAGAGAAGATTGATGGAGTAGTAGTTTATTGGGGAGGGGGTGAGGTGGAACTGCTGCAAACAGCAGCAGCAGCAGCAAGATAAGAGAAACAGGCAGCAATGGCAAGTCCCTGAATTATAAGCCTCAAACTAGGAGCTGTGTATGTGACATTATAATGTCCAGAATGAATCATTCAGGGTAAACTGCGGATAGCTGAAAAAGCAGAAACTGAATCTGTGGATATGCGGGTTTTCGTGTATACCAATTCCTGAACTGTCAAATCCAAATTCCTTAGAGGAAGGCAGAAAGAATAACCTATAGGCCACATGCAACTTCAAAAATGTAATTTTGTGGCCCCACAGAGCTGCCATGTCCCCAGGGCAAAAAAACAAAACAAAACCTGAGGGATAAAGGGTATTCTTTCCATTCTTGGAGTTTTCCATGAGTGGTAGTTTTTGCATTCATGGACCAGGCCCTGTTGTGGACACCATGTGATGTGTTCAGGGTGAAAAACTACTGCCCCCATCAGGTCCACCAAATTTGCAAACCCTAGGTGCATTGTTCAGTCCAAGATAAACTGAAGCAAGCTAAAAGAAAACACACAGACACAAAATAAAATGGACTTACAATTAAACGTTGTCCACTTAATAAATCATTAAGCCATTTGAGGTCATGGGTCTTGAAGACAACAAGAACTGCAGTTGTGTTGGGATCATAGTGAACTGGATCTGAAAAAACAGACTCTGGATAGAAGAGCCGGAATGTTGTCCTCCTTCCAACATCTCCTTCATAGCCTACAACAGGCCCATTATTCATTCTGTTTAAGGAATTGAGGAACAAACAGACAACCCACCAGTTATATAAAAATCAACAAAAATTCTGGTAGCAACTTAAAGAATGACATGTTTTATTTGCCACCCACTTTGTCAGATGCAGTCTGTGAAAATCAAAGTTCATTTCCTTTGTTATTTGCTGTATTATAACTTTATTTCTATGCGATTGTATTAAAAGGCAGAATTTAGTTTCACACTGCTGATCAAAGCAGCATGCTTTGCACTCAGAACTTGAGAGTGAGCTCCGAAGAATACAAGAAGACTTACTTTGGAGGACCCATGCATTGGAATATATAGCTAAGTAATGTTTAATGTACAATAATATGCCAAGACCAGCACCTTAAGTCTTTCTCCAGTTATATCTTCCACGAGAGGTTCAGAAGATAGAGCCAATGAGAAGCCAAGTTATTCTTGGCTTCTGTATCAGCATGCTTTCTTCAAGGTATCTGACAGATACGTACTGTATGGCTGATGTTTATATCTTTGCTTTCAAAAAAGAGATCTAATAATGTCAAAGCCACTTCTACTTTATTACTACTATTCATAGTAGTAATAATTCATAGTATTCACAGTGTTCATAGTAGTAATAATTCATAGTATTCACACTATTCATAGTAGTAATAATTCATAGTACTATGAATTACTACTATTCATAGTAGTAATTCTTGAGAATAATAGTAATAATTAATAATTCTTAATAACGAATGTAAGCAAAATAGTTAACCAGCAATTCTCAGCTCAAATATGAATGAAGGTAGCAGCTTTTGGACATTCACGTTCCTTTCCCCCATAATTAATGTAGCAATATTAATGTACCTGAAGTACATAAATACTTAATAATAATTCTGTTCAGAATCCTGTTGCCCCAGACCATGTGCCATGAAGATCATGGTTGTTGAAGACCACAAGTACTGCAGTTGTTGCACTTGTCGTGCACAACACGTGCTGAAAGAAGGGCAATGGCAAACTGGAGTTGGCATGAGCTGATCGGGCAAAACCTTCTACTCTGCCCACAACGGACAGGATACTGGCCGTTATTTATTAACATGATAAATCTTGTTTACCTGATTATCACATCATAGGAATCAATTATCTCCCCTAGACTCTTGTTTCGAAGGACACCTCCATTGCCAACGACCACACATTTTTTACAGGATGGACTGCTGAATGAAGAAATGGCAGTTGATTGAAGTTTTATTGGGGAAATTTACCTCTTTTGGGGGGTGGGGGTGGTAAATGTAATTGACAGTCATATCTTATAACAACAAAACATTATCAGCATGAATACAGAAACCTAGACATATTGACAAAGATTCAGGAGAGAAAGCATAATACCTATTTTTAAAGAAGAAGTAACAAAATCAGTCTACTGCTGAAAACCAACGTTATTAAATATGAAAGGGGTAGTTCAAAATGACAGCGATTCTTGGAGATGTTGTTCTTGATAGTTTTTACAAAAACTTTTTAAAAGAATCATGGTGTGTTGGCCACCCATCCATTCATTTGATGCAGAAGCTGATGCTAAGCATATGTTGACCAGAATCCTGCTGGTCCTGTGTATGGTACGTAGTGAGTCACACAAGCATGCCTACACACCGCACTTGTGAGCTTCCTCAGGTCAGGGAAGCAGCCCCATGTTTGGTCATGGGTAGAGATGCACACAAGCAGTAGTTAGGCCTGGTTTGGCATGACACAGGTGTTCCATGGGCACCATGTGCTTCCCTCCCCCATGTGATCGCTCATTCACTGGCAGCAGCGCACTTCCTTTCCTTCCCCCACCTTCTCCATGCGATTGCTCACTCACCAGAAGCATGCCTCTCTTCTCTACCTTCTCCACACAATTATCCACACAGATGAGAAGGCGGGGCAGGGAAGCCCGCAGTGCTTCCTGTGAGTGAACGCTCATGCAGAGAAAGTAGAAGAGGAAAGCATGCTACTGCCAGTGAGTGGGCGATTCCGTGGGGGAGGGAAGCACACCCTGCCTGTGGAATATTTATGCAGGTGCCACACTGAACTGGGCCAAGTGCAGTTCGTACCCATCTCTACTCATGGGACAAGCAGGAAGCCCTGAGGGAAAAGCTGCTCTATGATAGCCCTTATGCATGTGGCTTTTCCCCAAAGCATTTTGGTTATTATGTAGTGAAAAGATCAGGAATTTCACATTTAAGAATTTCAAAATTCTGAAGAACATCATCTGGATCTGGGCTCTATGACTTCTTTGTTTGCAACTTGCCAATGATGTCAAGAACTTCCTTTTTCTCTCAGCTTCTCACTTTCACCCTCTGGAAATAGCAGTGGCATGGGTAATGTATATTCAGCAATAAAGACACATGAAAATGAATCATCTGACTTCTTTAGCAACCCCTTCTCTGCTTTAATTTCATTGTCATTCAATACTCCTTCCTGGTTGTCTCTTTCTGCTCCAGATCTATTTTAAAAATTCTTTATTGTTGGATCCTATTGTTAGAGACAGATTGCTTAACATTCTTTTTTGCATCCTTAACAGACATGGGGGTATTTATATACAAATACCCCTGCACAGGTGGACATAACAAGGGTACGGACTCCTCCAGAGCTTGTGGTTGGCTAACCAGTCCTGGGAGGAGGTGGGATGACGAGCCTCACTACCAGGTCAAAGAGTGGCTCGCTGACTGGGCGCTCCGGAGTGATAAGAAGGGAGCTCAGAGCCCACAGCAGCAGCGGAAGATGAGCGGACAGTCCAGCCCCAGGGAGCCAGACCCTCATTATGTCCACCTGTGCTAATCCTTAATTGTCTGCTTTCATTTCCTTTGTACAAGTTTGTGTTTCTTTAAGGCTTCCTAAATCAAGACTTCCCATTTCTGAAGGAAGCTTCCCCTCCAACAGTATCAGGATGAACATTAGTTTTGCTAGTCCAAAGGAACCAATTTTAACTTTCTAGGTTCTTTTGTTTGTCATTCTTCTTATCATTTGATTTGGACAAACGGTACTGTATTAATATTTTAAATGAAATATATTAAAATGAACTAATTCCATCCCTGGAATCAAGTGAACCTGTTACTCTAAAAAAAAATTTTCCTCCCTCCCTCCCTCACAAACAAAAGCCTTTCCTCATTGTGTGCTCCCATGAGACTAGGATGTGAAGAACTGCCTGTCTTTTTTGTGAAAACTCAATAAGCAATTCTTCTGCACTGAACAGTGGAAATGTTACCGACTCCAAGACTGCATTTTTAATAAAAGATTGATAATAACATAAACAACCTCACCCACTGTCTTCAGCAAACAGTCCACAGTAACTCAGTCTTGAAAGTGCCATCTGAAAAAACCGTTCTGTAATACAAATGATTTTTACAAATCCTTAAAAAACAGTCCCGTAATTTATAGTACCAACATCCAAATACATCTGGATGACACTAATTATCTGGATCAATTTCACTTAAGCTTCTGGTTGTTACACGGGACTGGGATAACTTACTATAGATGACTTGCACTAGTTTCTGGATTTATGCAATACAGCCCTATTAAATTTTCAGAGTCTGTCAGATGCAGTGACCTTAGTGTTTTTGCAGACCATGTGGCAGGACAAGGTGCTAGGACAGTATATTACAATTTATTTATTATTTATTTTATTTATTTATTGAATTTATATCCCGCCTATCTAGTCAGTTACGACCACTCTAGGTGTAGTTCTAGATTGTCTCTGCAGGGTTATCCCTGGAAGATTATCACTGTTTGATTTGTCCCACAGGGTTCTATTCTGTCTCTTGTATTACTCAATATCGATGTGAAGGTGCTAGAAGACACCTTTTGAAGCTTTGGAATTAGGTGTCACCAATATGCTAGTAACACCCAGCTCTGTTTCTCTTTGTCCTCCAACACCAAGAAAAAAGTTAGCACCTTTAAACACTGCCTTTTTCAATGACTAGATGAATGACAGTGGACAAACTGCAATTCATTCATTCATTCATTCATTCACTCACTCACTCACTCACTCACTCACTCACTCACTCACTCACTCACTCACTCACTCACTCACTCAATCCATTTCTATGCTGCCTTTGTCCCAGAATTGGGAATGAAATCATGACAAGGCAGAGCCGATGTTGATTAACAGAAAGTCTGGTTCACAAACTGGGATTCAATCTGGTTTGAAAAAGTTTGTGCTCACTCCAAAGGGTTAAGGCTCATAGTCTAGGAATATTCCTTGACTCTGCACTTGGTAGCCATGAGAATTAGGTTCCATTTAGTGCACCAGTTATGATTGTTCCTGAGTCAACCTGACCTGACAACAGTCATCATCTCTGCCTTAGTTACTTAGACAAATCGACTTGTGTAACTATGCTGAGGTAATCCAGACTGGACACTGGAAGCATTTTACTTAAATTAATTAAAATTGACATACTATGACATACGCCTTTTCAGGTTCTGATGTTCCCTAGGGCTATCTTTTGCTCTAAGGAAGCCTTTGTGAGACTTGGGATGTTTAATAATAACTTTAAAAATTGCCACCAGTAGTAAAGAAAATAAATTGTGGCAGTCTGAATCACATCAAAAGGCTCCCTGCCCCCCGCTTGTCCTGAGGCTCCCAAAGTATTCTGCAGTGCAAAAGGTAGCCCTAGGGAGCTTCGGAACCTGAAAGGGAAGTGTGATAGGAGGCATTTAATCAATTTAATTTAATTCAAATGTTTCCAGCACCCAATCTGCTTATGCTGGTGCAAAAGTTATGCAACAGGATTTTGATTTTTGAGTCTTGACTGCTGCAAACTTCTCTATGTATGGCTATCCATAAAAACCTTTGGTTATATTATTCTGATACTTAATGATTGTATTGATTACTAATTGTTCTTAGGTCTGATTCGGAGTGTTTTTCACCTTTAAAAACCTAAGCAGCTTGGGACTTGCTATCTAAGGGTTCACCTGTTTCATTATGAACTTATAAAAAGGCCCTCGTGAGAATATCATAACCACATAGGCCTGCTTGATCGGCACTCTGGAGAGGGCTTTCTCCTGAATGGCACCCAGGCTGTGGAATGCACTCCTCTCAGAGCTATGACCAGTTTTTACTCACCCGGCTTTCAGGGAGAACATGCAGACAAATCTCTTCAGTATAATCTCTTAAAACTGCTAGGATGCCTACAGTTCAGGCCTCTACACACGATCTCTTCCACAGTTAACAATAGGAAAGCCCACATAAATGCACCCCTGTGCATGAATATTGTGTGGGAACAAGGCCTCAGGGGCAGCCATTCCAATATCAGGAAGAAGAAAATATGGTATTTCTCTTCATTTTATATTAACTGAAGGAAACATTTGAAGCAATCCCTAATTTTCCCCAAAGATGGACAAATTGGACAGAGTAGTCAATTGACTAGATGGGTGGGGTATAAATGGAATGAATGAATGAATGAATGAATGAATGAATGAATGAATGAATGAATGAATGAATGAATGAACGAATGAACGAATGAATGTACTTCTGATTATCATTCCACAGTTCAACTGCCAATTTTACACATTCTGTCCCTTATAATCTCCATCTTCAGATCAAATGTTCTTAGTAACAATATAAAATTTGCATGAGCTTTCAGCAATCAGGCAATGCACTTTTCCCAGTACTTATGGCATCCGATTCTGTACATTTAAAATATGCTCCCTAAATCTCTGCCTTTGTTATATATCATCCTGGCCAAAATTATCCTTGGTTTTTTTTCCATGAATACAATGGCTTGTCCCACATATGCTTGTCTTTTTACATCAACTGGCAATTAGGCATTCATTGCCCCCATTATTTTTAATAGTGCAATCTCTGGCTTGTCTAATTGCCAAGATGGAGATTACTGGGAGTACTGCAGAGTGCCCCACCCATGAGGTACCTACATTCTGTGATTCTAATGACTGCTTGTATACAGACAGCAACACTTTCCAAAACATTCCAACTCACTATAAAAGTGGGGGTGAGGGGATCACTTTTGTAATTCAAGCCTTGAGAGCCTTATACAGTGGTGCCCTGCTTGACAATGATAATGCGTTCCAGCAAAATCGCTGTTAAGTGAAATCGTCATCAAGCAAAACAAAAAAACAAAAAACAAAAAACCATTGAAATGCATTGAAAACTGGTCAATGCGTTCCAATGGGGGAAATAATTGATCGTGCAGCGAAGATCCTCCATAGAGCGGCCATTTTCCGCTCCCTGTCTTGCGAAATGAGGTCAGCAAAACAGCGGGGAGCCATTTTGAGAGCAGCCGATCAGCTGTTATCGTCGTGATATTAAGAGAAAAATCGGTTCCCAAAGCAGAGAACTGATCGTCGTGAAGTGAAAAAAACCCATACAAACATCGTTTTGTGATCGCTATAGTGATCGCAAAATATTCATCGTCAAGCAATTTCGTCGTCTAATGGGGTAATCGTCAAGCGAGACACCACTGTATTTAAAATACACATACCAGAAATTACGTACCTGCTTTCCTTATTCCATAAGGCAGTTCAAACTTATGATTTCCATGTTGCTCAGACACTTGCAGGAAATTACTAGTGCACAGGAATGGGGAGAAGATACCAAGCCTTCCAGAAGAAAGAAGAAAATTATTGCTTTCATTCTACTTTATTTGCAAAACATTCCTCTGCTTTTCAGAACAAACCAATCATGACCTCACCCAGCATGGCTTACAAAACACAAACCCATAAATAATGTAAGACATAAAAAACATAAATAATGTAAATAAAATTAATTCAATACAAAACTCAGATAAAAATAGGAGCAAAAAATGAGAACACCATCCAAAAATACATATCACACACCAATAAAATCCAGAAATAAAAATAGGTTCAAAATTTTGTTTAAAGACAATGCTATATGTTCTTCTTTAGCAAGAGCATTCTAGAAATATTTGGCCACCAATACAGGAAGAAAAACAGGCAGTTGCAACCTATGTCAGTGTACACTCAACATGTACCATGGACAATTTGCTGCTAATTGTTCCAAATGCTATTGATGCTGAATATTACCGAGCAAAAATTATTTGATCTACTTATTAATTATAGAGTGGTGCTTCTGACATGAACAAAGACCACTTCAATTTCCTCTTCCTGTCATAAATGAAAAGCTGCTCTATATAAATAGTAATTTTGTTTGGAACCATCTGAGTGTATTCTCTCCCAACCCCACTCATGCATACACGTACATGATGGACCAAATCCCACTGTTTGTCCCAATTAGAAAAGAAACACTTAATCAATGGGCTCACTTGTGTTGACTTACAAAAGTACCACTGATTTGGTTCGTCTGCTCTGGTTTTGACAAAGAACTGGATTTAGCTCTATAAGTGTTCAACATTGTTTGCAAAATAAATCAAGTTAATGAGAAGGTTTTAATGGTAAAATCTCTGAACAATTTTTAATTATTACTACATAAAAGCAAGATTACAAAGGCAAAGGCAAAACTCAACGGAAATCCCAGCCTGTTAATAGAACTTCTTATACTGACTTTTGCTTGCCTACTTGATGTTAGGAAACACGTAGAATTTTTTTTTCATTTTAATCCACAAAAATGCATATTTACAAATCTGTTTTTAAAGGATGGTTGTAGTATTGTCTCATTTATCATTCTTATTTCAGTTGGAAGCTGTCTGGATAGCTCAGGGGTTTAGGTATCTGGCTGTAGAGCAAGAAGTTAGAAGTTCGATTCCCCACTGTGTGTCCAGAGACGGAAGAGCCAATCAGTGGGGCCTTGTGGACGCTACAGTCCTAATATACCCCCAGAAGAAGGGAATGCTAAACCACTTCTGAGTATTCTGTACCTGGAAAACCCTGAACACGGTTGCCATACTACTACTACTACTACTACTACTACTACTACTACTACTACTACTACTACTACTACTACTACTACTACTACTACTACTACTACTACTACTACTACTACTACTACTACCCTCTCTGTTCTAATCAGATTAGGATTCACAGAATGGTTTTACTGGAAGGTTGCTATGGTATCATCCATGTAAACCCACTTTTTTCCTGAGTAATAATCCCTGCCCTGAAATCAGCCCACGCTCAGGTTCAAGGTTCCTTGGAACTTTTTGGATGCTACCCCTACCTACCTACCTGCCTGCCTGCCAGTATGATTTCAGGTGCTGTCTTTCTGGCTCCTGCTGCCGCTGAAATGGATGACACAGAGAAACTTCTGCTTTCCAAACTGAAATCCATTCTGGCTCTTTCATCTTCAAGCTGGTTGTGACAGCAGATATCCTTATGCCAGAGTTTTCCTGCCTACTCAACAGAAAGTGCCAGCTTTGATCCTATATTAACTATTCTAAAAATCACACACCATACATTTCACTTGAATTTGACATATAAGCTTTGCTCCTTGTCTACAACTGTGTGGGCCCATTTGAAAAAACAAAGTCAGTTTTTGAACAAAACCTAGTCCTCCTGAACTGTTCAGTGACAGCTATATAAGCAATAGGAGTTGGCACAAGCATGGTAGGAAACATGAGGTCGAATACCAAAACCACAACCTATATACAGAACAATATAGGGGAAAGCATAGTAGTACAGTGCACCCTTTCCATCCTGAGAGTCCCAGGTTCACTTCTGGGGAAGTTACATTTTTGACTACAACCCCTAGGATCTCCTGCCACAGTGGTCATTAGCTATGCCAGCTGGAAAAGTCTGGAAGTTGCAATCCAAAAAGCAACTGCTTCTAGCTTCGGGAAAGTCCAAGTCATATAGATCTTTTTTTTATCATAACCAGTATTTTTAAGTTTTGCCTTGCAATAGATCTTTAGCCAGTGAAATGAGTGTCTTCTCTGTAACCAACTTTGTTCAAAGGTTGGCAGTAATACCTCATTAGGTAAGAGTGAAGCCTTCAACCATCTCAAATTCCTCAGCATTTTTAGTTTGGTGGGACTATTTTAGTTCCATGCATGGGATAGCACGGGACAAGACATAACCTTAACAGACCCCCTCCCCCAATCCCAGGCAAACAGCCACTGTGCTGAACACGAACCCACCCCACCAGCATCTTCTGAACAGGAAGAACTGGAGCTGCCACAAAACAGTGCCTCCAAATCCTTGCCCAAAATAGCAGCCCAGAAGAATATTATGATATTGAAAGGCACTGAGATGTTCAGCAGAATCAGAGAAAGATCATCCCATTCCTCACATAGGTCATCCTACAATCCTGCTTAACAGGATTCCACCAACACTGCGGACATTGCAGTCTACAAACCATATTTCAAGGAAGTCCCACATAGAAATACTATGGTGGTTTAAGATGGAGACTTCTACAACAGACGTATCTGAGCTGATGCTCTCTCCATCCATGATGAGTATTCATGCACCTGATAAGGCTGGTAAAGGAGGATTTGGACCACAGAAACAACCTAAACTTCCAAAGCCCAGGAGGTATCAAGGAATACTCTTAGAATGTGAGCATGTTTCTTGTGGAGGAGTACAACCCAGCCAGCACAGGGATCACCGACATGAGCACTAAACTTGACACACAAACTAATAACACCTCCCTTTTTTACTTACTTTCTGATAGCTGAAACACTGGGTTTGAGTGTGCAAGCTATTAGCTGATCTGTATTTCTGTCTGAATCTGTAGAGGGCAGCCTAGAACAAAGAAAAACATAGCAAAATAAGTTAAACCAAATTTAAGAAAAAAGGCTGTATCGTTTATAGGGAATTTGTCATGAAAACTTGCCAAAGCATTAGTCAATTAGTATGTCTGTTATGGGTAGATATTTCCAGTGGTCAAAACTTGGTAAGCTGTTTCCTGTGTACTGTAGATGACACTGCTCTGCTCACTGTACAAAATGTTTGCACCTATAATTGCTGCATAAGAACACGCTACATAGCAGGATATTATGCCTGCATTTGGAACAATTTAACTTTTTATTTCTTTTAATAAAGTAAGCCTAGCAATATCAAATACATAATACAGTGGACCCTCTACTTAAGGAATTAATTTGTATTGGAATGGTGGCTGCAAGTCGAAAAGTCTGTAAGTTGAGCCGTCTGTAAGTCGAGGGTCCACTGTAAAATCTAACAATTGCCAGTGGAGTGCACATTAAGAGATGGGGGCGGGGCTGCAGCAAAAGCAATATTGTGGCTTCAAAACTAAATGGTTTTATTTTACGTAAGTTTCAATTTTTAAAATTGGTATAAACCTCTATGGACTGTACTGCATCCCCTGCATGCTCCATGCACCTGGTTAAGTGTACTGCAGTTTACGAAAGCATATATTCTTTTATGTATTTCTGAAAATATATTTGCTTTTTTGCACCAAAGAGCTTGGAAACTCTAAGACCAAAAAACGGGAAATGTTCTTAGATATTGTAGATTTCACAGTTTAAATAACTGGACTGGTTTTATTTCTGAAATTATGTCTCTTTGTTTTCAAAGGAATGCTAAGGGCTATAAACATGAAATTTTGCACAGATACTATTGATGCCTCAGCTGAAATAACTGGACTGAATTACATCTCATCATTGGCTCCCCAGAAATCCAATTAGCCCACTGCTAATTCCATTTCAGTATTACCTGATTATAGACCTTTGGTGGACTTTTCTGTTAATTCAGCCATATAAACTATAAATATGAAACCTCTTTCCTCTGGCTGCAAATTAAGTAGTTCACCTATTGTCTGCTACAGTTCTACTGTGTCTTTTATTTATTTATTTCACACAAATATGAACCTTTAAATCAATACATCAAAAATTTGACTCGAGTAATGAAAAACACAGGCTAAAAAAACCCATGCAGAAACTGGGAGAAATTAATATTCCTTTTCGAAATAGGGAGCTTCATTTCCGTATGAGTGGAACTGAGTACTGGGCTGGTTTGAGTACTGAGATGTAGGAATTAAAATATGAGCATTTAAAAAAAGTGAGGAAAGGGATAAAAAGAGCTAGAGCACTGGAGGAGAACTAATGGGTTTCTGATGCAAAGCTGGGTATGTTAATGGCAAATAAACTTTTTAGGATGTGTCTAGATGGCCCAGTTGCCCTGGCCTGGCTCAGTGGTTTAGCTATCTGGCTGCAGAGCCAGAGGTTAGGGGGGGGGGTTGATTCCTCACTGTGCCTCCTGCAAATAGAGCTAGCCTGGATGGACCTGGGCAAGATGCACAGTCCCAGAGCACCCCCAGAAGAAGGGAATGGTAAACCACTGCCGAGTAAGCTCTGAAAAGAATCGCCATAAGTCAGAACTGGATGGATCTGTCTAGATTGTGCTAAACACATACTGAAGTATGTCAATTTGGGTGATCCTTGCATCTCCAGGGAAGGACTAACTATAGCACAAGGAGCTGGGAAGTTTTCTATTTCTAAAGACTGCTCAGTGGCTTCACCAAAGGGCAGTTGCTTTGGTTCAGTCCCAGAACCTGTTGGCTTTTAAATAAGAACCTGTAACATATAAATAAGAACCTCCCTGCACTAATTCTCTGTGTATACCAGTTGGAAACATTTAGATTAGAAGACAAAAACCACTATACAGCAAAATTTGTTCTCTTGTAGTATGTGTATTCTGTGCCAGCAACTGATATTAAAATAATCACTTGTGCCTTAGTTAAAACATGAAATAAATTTTATTATCTCAAAACATCTATAAAACATAACATAACTTATAGTGCTTAGACATTTAGTATGACAGATGTATTTTCTCTGGTAAATAATTAACTCACCATAATACTGTTATACTTGTAATACTCTAAGCAAAACGGAGCAATCCTGCCTGCTCCAAACAAACAGTAGCCCCTGATAAGGGCCCAAAAAGGGGCAGGTGAGTGTTAATCAGGGACAGTCTGGTTCACAAAGGCACATACATCATATGGTTGCTGGAAAAAGGAGTGAACCAGCCTGCCCCCAACCTGGACCAAGCTGTAGGAAAAATACCCATCTGATTGCACCCTTAGTTATTACGATGCCAAGAAAGTCTTTACTGGTATAATGTGACTTTAAAAAAATCTTGCTATATACGAGGGGCTGCTGATAAGTATTGAGCCTTTCGCAGAAAAAATTGAGCTAAAAAGCTGTAACTGCCACACTATTCTACATATTCCCCTAGGAAGTCAATGCACTTGCGACATCTGTCCTGCAGCTTCTTAAGTCCCTGCAAATAAAGTTCATCTGACTGCTGGTCTAACCACTCATTTGCAGCATTAGTTGCCTCCAGAACACTACCAAATCATTGTCCCTTTAGGTGTTTTTTTGAGTTTGGGGAACAGATAATAGTCAGAAGGAGCCGGATC